CAGCGCTTACACCTAAGCCTGGCTGTCAGGTCCGCCTCAAGGACGGCCCTACCTGCCCCACCCTGGGAGCTGCTGGCCTCTGAAGTGTCTTCAGTTGTCAGCATTCCCAGTGCTTCTTAGAAGGGTCCTTGCTGCTGTTGAACCTGGCTAACATCTTGCTCCAAGCAGTCTTGTTCTTTTAGAGGGCATGACATTTCTTTTTGTATATATGTTTTCCTCTCTAGTCCTTCTGGTTCCCAAAACCTGAGAGAGAAGTCATTCTTCTCTGAACATCTCTAAATGGTCTCCGCCTTTCTTGGGTGGACTTCAAAATCCGGTCTTTTGTCTTTCAAGTTCAAAAAAATGTGTCAAGTAGGTAGGTGTGTTTGTACTTCCCCTGATTATGGTTTGTTTTTGCCTTCTGTATTTTTTTCTGCACCTTTCTTGATTACAGGTTGGAGTTCCACGTCCTGTTTCCCAGGTTTGTCAATTCTTTTGTGATATTATGTTTGGCCACCTCAGCTGCGTTGGCAGATCCTGGAAACTGCCGGTTCACATTTATCTGTCAGTATTCAAATGCCTTTTTTATTCTTGGTGGCTTTCCTTAATGTTGCCCAAATCAGGAGAATCTAAGGATGTCTGTATGTAAATGTTAAAACATTAATTAATGATTTTGAAGCTAATGCTATTGTCTCTTATATTATTTGAAGTGTAGTGAGATCCTTTTTGTTTCATGCATTACTATTATTTATTATTTTTACTAGCAGAACATTTTCTGCCCATTTATTTTTCACTATCTTCTCAGTTCTAGTCATTGACTTAAAATGAAAAGGGCTAATAGAAAGAAGGGCTTAAATGTCAGAAGAAGACACTCTCTTTCATTTGACAAGCTGTTGTTGGTCCTGGGAGAATAGGTACATTTGTTATAAAATTCATATCAAGAGTTTTTTTCTTCTAGAGTTATTTAAGTTTTTAAAAGGGAAAAAATTGCCCTTTTAAAAATTGTACTAGTTTTGGTACCAAAGTCAAGTCTGTTGAAGGCTACACAGAACCTCATACTCTCAGGAAACCACAGGAATAATTATTTGCTGCTAAAACAGCACCTTCCAAATGCTTAAGTGCTAAAGAGATGGATGGACAAGTCCACCAGTTGCCACATTAGACTTTTTCACAGTTTTCCCCTTGTCAGACAGGGAGGAACATTATGATTGGAGCCAGAACCCAGAGGTCTGTACCCAGCAGTTGGAAATGTACTTGTGTTCATGCCGGGTCCAGAAATAAATCCTAGATGATGTTTAGGTTCAACATGAAATAAACAGTATTTTAGCAAGCAAACAGTCCAGGAGCCAGAATAATAAGAGACTGGAAATGAACATAAGGATGTGTGGATAAATGTGCTCTTTTCTCATCACATAGGAGTCAAAAAAAGCTGTCATCAGGGGCAAAGGATGTTTCTCAAGAATGAACCAACTCAGATTTCTCCCACCCACTTCAAGAAAATAATCTAGAAAATTGTTAAGAATCTAGAGATTCCTTTATTGGCGACAAGAAAAGAATCAAGAAGGAGTTTTTTGGACTTTTAGGTAGCTATTATTTGATTAGAGTAAAATTATTATGATAATTGTATCAGAACATTTTTATCTCTGCTTGATGGGAATTCTTTATGTCAGCCAAGCAAGCTACAGTTTAGCAACTAAGCTCAATCTTTTGTTCCTAAAAATTTTCTGTTAACTATAATTAAACGAAGGAACATTTGAAGGGTAACAGGTTTCCATATGAATTAGTACACTAAAAATTGCTCCCAAATCAATTACCCTAGTGGGTTTTATTTATAGAGCTCCCAAACAGGAGATGTATTCCCCCTAAATGCTGACTCTGCATTTTGGTTTAATTCTGGAGCAGAGAGCAGGGAGGCAAGGAGTGCAATGACCTGACTTTTAGGGTCAGGGCTAAGATTCTGCTGATGACAAGGCTGTGCTAAGACACATTCTGTTGGTCAAGGTCACTTCTAACGTAAGAGTGAGTTTGCCATGTTATGCCTCAAACCTCACACCTCACGAAGGAATGTGTCAAGTGTTTCTTCTCGTCACCTATGACTGTGGCCTAGAGAAAAGCAATGACAGTGAAACGCCATGTCCTCCTTTATAATCACACTAGCTCTTTCTACTCGGCACAGAATGAAAAGGCACAGGTTTATGATGTCATGAGACAGAAGACAGAACAAAGGCGAATGGGCCACAGGTGAGGTGAGGCATGTCACTGAACCTCAGGTCCAGAGTCCTCATTTTTGCTTTCACCACTAAGGCATCAGGACTCCTTCCTGGAGATAAACCCTCACTAGGCCATCTGGCCCCCAGAGCTCTGGGACACCTGGGCAATGCCCTGAGGATAGCAGAGGGCTGCCAATGATGATGTGACTTCAGCACCCCATAAGGCAGGCAAAGCTGCACCGATCAAGTCAATGGCAGAGCTTTTAAATGTTCTGTGGGGTCACAGTTTGTACCTACTACCTCTTCCCATGTTGACATAAATGACTGGAGAAGGCGGTGCTGTGATTTACAAAGCTGGAGGATTCAAAACAGATATGAGCATGTGTAAATGTAGCACTGTTTGCAATCTGTTTCCAATAGTTTAAGCTGAAGCAGCTTTAAAACAGTACATATGCTTTGGGGTTAATGTGTTGGAATTGTCAGCTGAGTGACTCCAACCACCAATGGTGCCCAAACATGGTATGGTACTCGAGCTTGGGAACCCTGGCCCCATGCACAGTGCTATCACTGTTTGCAGCTCTCGGTCCTTCCCCACCAGCTGCTACGTCTGTCAGGCTGGCAGGGACCGGATGACTTGTTGGAACCACGTAGGCTATTTCTGTGCATAGGATGTTAGTTAAGTCCATGTTACAGTAAGCCAGACCAGGATATGAGTCAGATTATCATAAAGTGTTAAAAAGAACTGATCTTCAAAGCATCCTGAAAGGATCATGCCACGCTACACTACTGTAAGGTAGCTATAGTTTGAAAGCCATTTATAATTACTAACTGAAGGAGAAACCCTGAAGAATATGGATTAGAATTGACCAAAGGCCTACCAATGAAACGAAACAGAGAAAATCTAGAGGTCTTAAAATTTAGAGGTCAAAAGAAAGATTTATTACCAGGACCACATATTTCTCCAGCATGCTTTGGTCAGACATGTAGAAGCAATAAAACATGGAGAGTTCAGAAAAGGTGTGGAGCATGGGTTTGCTTTATTTTCCTTTTAAAACCAAACATTTTATCTGCAGACCAACTTTCATGGGGTCAGATTAATGGTCCTAAACTGGCTCTTAAAAAAAAATCTACTGGCATTGAGGCGTCAAGATACCAAAAGATGTCTTTCACTATTTGTAAGAGTGAAAAATTATCAACTGTTACAATATCCACAAATAAGTTAAACTATGTATCACCCCTTTGATGGAACCCAAGCAGCTGTTAAAAGGAATAATCTGAATATATAGGTATGGAATGATGAAGGTGTGTATATACAGGAAAAAGTCCCTAAGTAGCCAGAGAAAACCATTAATAGCTGTTATTTGTGACAGAGATTTTTGTACACCCCTATTCATTGTTTAAATCCTTTACAATAAACATTACTTTTATAATAGAAAATAAAGCCAACAAAGATATTTATGAGAACTTAACTTGGCTTTTTCTATACGTACAATGTTCTTGGGAGGCCACAGGGTAGCCTAAGGGTCAACCGAGTCCCTGACCGAATGGGTGAAGGCATAGCCAAGGCACTGCTAAGCTCTGGGGGAGTCCAGAGAAGCTGCGCAGTCAGCATTTCTGAAATGCCACGAAAAAGGAGGGCATACAGACCAAGGAAGCCCTTTAATTACCCGTCATGGGACCTTTGTTTTCTAGCTCTCTGTGACCTCTGTAACTACACTTCTGCTTCGGGAGCACTGAGGGAGAGTTCACTGCTTGGCCGTAATCCATGGCCGTGACCCCAGACAGGTCACACTGCTCAACCTTGGCCTGCCAGTGCCTCTCAATGTAGTTTTACCGACTTGGTATTTAAAGGGTGGGGAAGAGTTATCAGTGAGAAGTGACAGCAGCAATTCATCTGCTCCATCTTCTCCCTCCCAGCAAAGCCTGGAGGAACTATCTTTTGTTTTAAGGGCCAGGGTGAAGGGCACTTGACCTGTTTCTGTGACCACAGCAATCCATCATGGTGCCCTCCCAGTCAGGAATTTCCTTTCTCTAAGTAAACTGTGTCCTCTGGTCTGCCCCAGGTGGCCCCTTTCAACAAGAGGGTGGGAGAGAGAGCAGGCCCATCTATTTAACCACAATGCAAGGGTCTGGAAACAGTTCCTGCCTCAGCCTTGTTTTTTGAAGGCCAAAGAAGCCCAGACATCACTGTTCTTAACAAGCATTTTCTATTCTCCGTCAATCCCCCCTGAACACCTTACAGTCAATCTCTCCTTCCCCACCCCAGACCTGGCCTTAGGTAATTCAGTCACTTTCCAGATTCTGGCTCAAACACATGTTCTCTGGAGAGCCTTTCCCAACACCGCAAGGCCAGGCCAGGTTCCCATACACCTGATATACAGCCCCTATCTCAGATTGCTTATCCCAGCTCTCATTTTCCATTTATTTCTGTGATAAGTTGATGTACGTCTGTGTTCGTCCTCGAGGGCAGAAACTGCACCTGTTTTTGGTGCACCCCCAGTTTGCAGTATAGTGTCTGGTGCCAAGTAGATACCAGTAAAGGCTTACTCGACGGAAGAGTGCTGCAGAGGCAACTGGGCGAGCTATGTGCCAACAGCGGCGGGAGGAAGAGCGCCTGGGAAGGCTCCTCTCCCTGTCACTAGCTTGCCTCCTTTGTTTTTTGTCATATGTGTCCAAGTGAATGGCTAGCCAACAATATGTCCCCTCTTAAAATCTGAACATTTATCTGGGGTGGGTCCTAGTAGAAGATGATAGTGTTTAAAGGAGTTAAGAGGTTATGGCTAAAGCTCCAGAACGTTTCTCAGTTGAAATGGCAGAGCCTTTTGATGCTATGACTTCTTGGTTATTTCTTGGAACCTTTTTAGCTCTGAACCCCGGGGGCTGCCAGGGGTCCTGGAGGATGGAAAGAATACAACAGACACAGAAATCCTCTGCCAACAGCAGAGAGAGCCTAGGCCAGCACTGGGTGAAATGGGGGGAACTGACCTCGGCTGATGCGCTGCTTCTCCCCAGACAGGATGCCAGGGCTGTCGATGATGCTGATACTCTTCAGGACCTGATTGGGCAGCTGGGAGCACATGAATCTGGAAGAAAGGGATCCAAGATGGGATCAGAAACTGCGCCAACTACGGAGCTCCTCGGCCTCTCCGGGCTACTGACATCGTCTGTTGTAAAGCAGGGGCTTGGAGGGGACTGACAGTACCTCAACTGGTGCTACAGGGACGAGGTGTCAGTGAATGAGCAGGTATGGGGGGGGGGTGCCCTGGCACCTGCTGCTACCTGCCACCAGACCCCGTACTGTTAATTGTGATTTTAGCTAACTTTTATTGAACACTTAGGTATTTTGCAACATCATCTCATTTGCTCCTCGTATTAACCTCATGAGGAAGAAATTGCCATTAACTTCAGAGAGGTTAAGTAACTTGCTTAGCATCACTTAGAGCTGGGCTCTAAACCCAGGTCAGCCTGACTCCAAAGCCCAGCAGTCTCACCTGCGCCTCCTCCATGCTGCTCCTTTGCCGGGGATCCCAGGCCTCGTTCAGGGTCACTGCCACACTGGGCTGGAGTATCCTCAGCTCCCTATCCAGCTTCTGCCCACTCCCTGAAGTGACACAGATGTACTAGGGCCTGTTTTCACTGTCTGATGACCCAGGGACTCAGCACCCAGCCTGGTGCCCACTATGGCAACTCCCCAAATCCTCCAGGTGTTTTTCTGAGTCCTAGGGGTGCCCTAAGAGCAGACGAAAGGGCAGGGTGGGGGAGGGCCCTGCCAAGCTTCTCCAAGCCTCCTTCCTCGTCCATCACTTCCCTAATACCATCTGTTCCTTCTCATCCTGCTCCCTCTACGGTCCTGGCAGAGTGGAGGGGCAGGAAAATTGTGGCCTGTGGGTCAGTAGACCTGGGTTCAGGTTCTGCTCAGCCTTTGCCAATACACTGCTGTGGGACCTTGGAAAAGGGCTTCCCCTTCTGGGCCTCACTTTTCTCATGAGTAAATGGAGACACTTGGACCAGGGGCTGGCGAGGTCTTTTTTAGCTCTAACACTGCGTAACTGTAGAGGAGCAGAGGGAAATGCTTTGTTCCCTCCACCCAGGCAACAGAGCCTGAGGTGGATCTCTGTTAGACACTGTGTATATTTTAAGGTGGAATCGGAGAGTGACTCTGCTTTTCCTATATTGTCAATGGTTAACTTCTGTATCTGTGTGAGCAGAAGGCTTGAAAACCTTCAGTGAAAGCGCCATTCTTCCATTCAGTGGAACTGGTGGGATTACTCAGAAAGCAAATATGCTGGGAATGCAGGACAGGGAGGCCTGCCCAGCCTTCACAGTCCACGTGCAGACAGCACAGCTCAGCCCACAGAGTGGGTGGGGGCGTGGCCTGATGGGTGGGGGCGAGGGGACAGCCTTGAGCAAAAGGTGCAACTATGAACATTGCAAAAATAACTTGATATAAAGATGTTCAGGACAAGTTTCTCACATAGTGTTTCCTAGATTTTCAAATCAGACAGGGAAGATGTAGGAAAGATACGATCATTTTGCAGCTGGAAAAGTTGAAGCACAAAGCAGTGATGAAATCTTGAGGTCATGCCACCAATGACCTCAAACTAATAGTTCTGATGTCAGTTGAGTAGAACTCAACCCATAAAGTTAAAAACCTCATCATGTGAAAAATAAAGGGTCAAGTTAACTTAAGAGAAACCCTTCAGTTCTGATTTTCTCCAGCCCCTCCACCTTTAAATAAAACCCATTGCCCAACATTCAGAGAGCAAGTCTGTGAGAATCAAGTACACAGGGATCACTTAGCATTCTTTGTAAGTTCACAGAGACAAAAATGCCATATCCAATTCTCTAGAATTGGGGTAGGAACGGAGCTCTGAACATATTCATGAGAAACCGCATTTCTTGTCAAAAATGATTTGGTCTCTTATCATGGTCCCATCCTTTTCATCAAGATGGCTGGAGACAGTTCGGCAATGCTGAAAAACTGCACATATGTGCAACTATTTTACATAAAATATTTCTGGGAGAGGCTGGTCTTTTTCCAAAACCACAAACTCACACTCAATATCAGTATTTCCAAAACACAAGCCCTCTGGGCTCTAATGTGAAGTTAACAGAGGGATTCAATAATTTATGAACTGTCCACTCCCTCTGTGCAAAGTGACAACGTTTCAACAAAATCCATGGATCCCGACACAAGAGCAGAGGCAAAATCTGTGAGCCACGAAACAAGATGCAGTCAGATGTGGTGATGTTGCCACACAATAAACAAGGGA